GAGGTTTAAATTGATTAGCCTTGGGATTTCATATAGGACATTATCGTTGGGTTCTTTAAATGTATGCGAACAGCCGGAATATCTGAGAAATTAAATTTTAGTGTTTTTTTTTTTAAATAGATTTATTTCAGTTTGCGTGTTTGGTTCATAGTATTATGTTGTTTCATTTTTCTTTCTTGATAAAGCTCAGAGATATCTAATTCTCTTTACAATACATTCCATGAAGGAGAGGTCATTAGTTTTAACACACCAAACAAAATATGGGTATTGCAGATGCTCTAATGTGTGTCGGGACATTTGCTAACAATCAAGAAAAAACAGAGGAAACCTAGAAATGCATGAAAACACAAGCATTTGAAACAGAAATGGATATCACGTTCGTCAAAAATAAATAAGAGTACACAGCAAAATTGATAGTCCAATCAAAACTTCAAAGGTCTTTACAAATAGAAAGGGAAAGGAAAATTATGAATGGTACAAAAGAATGAAGCAAGAAATAAACATCCACTATCTAATCAGTCTTCGGCACTGAAAAACACGAACCCCCAACGCATTTTTAGCCAGCTCCTCACGAATAAAGCGCCATATCCAGTTTTGAAATGCAGGCTCTTGAAAGGGCATCAGTCAATCGGAGTCCTCAGTGAGTTGTGCATTGTTTCGATGGTTCATATCTGTGTCATTTTGAAGTCTTCTGAGTTGAAAAAACCCCGTGCTTTGAGAAGCATTATGCACATAGTAGAGAAAAAATAAAATGGAAAGCAGAAAAATATTTAAATATCGAATCTTATGAAGTTAGATTTATATAGCAGTATCACAAACAGATTAAAGAACCAGATTTCAAATGTTTACTAACATAGGCAAAGAATAAGAGTAACAACATTTATTATAACATCAATTTTCACAACTGAGATTTGGAGATCTTTGGCACCAAAAACAAAATTAAAGTAAAATGTATACAACTTTATGATAATAAATTTACAAGTTATTTCAGTCAAGAAGGCAACATGCATTTTGATGAAGAGAAAAATCTTCAGGGGCTACAAATAATAATCTCTGAAGGACAAATCTTACGTTTTTATTTCTTTAAAATTTCGGGTGGCGAGGCCACTTTGTCACCCTATATGCCTACATACAATAAAGAAAATCTGTAGACGAACTGAAAAATCAAGAAATAATTTAGTAGATTAACCTGAGATTTTCCAATAGTTTCCCATTATAAATCAGAATTTTCTTGTTGGGAAACTACTGGAAAATCTCAGATCAAAATCTACTAAATTATTTCTTGATTTTTCAGTTCGTCTACAGATTTCCTTGTTATTATTTTATCATACGGGGTTAAAGGAAAGTCGAGATCAAATAAAATACCCACAATTTTTCATATGTTTAAATCAGACCTCTTAAAAGATTTGTCACGTGCGATTGTAGATATTGCATATGAAATCTATTAAGAACATAAATATTGAAGCATGGTACCTTTCGTCGAAGCTTTGCTTTGCTTATCTTTCCTCTCAAAGTCATTTTTCCAT